GGAGGGAAGCAGCACTGGCGGCAGCCTCTGACTGGGGCCTGAGGCAACTGTACTGGTGTCGGGGTGTTGTCCCTCCCTGCACTATGGCCTGACGTGTGCGCTTATCTCTTGGCTCAGAGTACAGTGGGGCCAGGTTGGTGAGCTCACCGGCTGTGCTGCAGCTTGATGGGTACGGCTGTCTACACCTGCTTGACCGGTGGCTGGGGTTGCTGTTCCTGAACACAGCTGGCAGTGGCACGGCTGGCAGAGGCACGGCCCACATGTCCTTCTAGACCAACAAAGGCCTTTGCGTTCCCAAGTCCTGGGCTGGTGATCGGCTTGGTCGGCTTCCAGACACAATGTGTGGACATGATTTACTGCCATGAGGCTAGCCTGGAGTTACCTTCGTAGACTTGCTTGTAAGCGCAGTTCCAGAGGACCACTGGTGTGCTGAATCTTAGTCTATTATTGTTTAGAACTCACTCACTCATTTGAGGCAGTTAGGGAGACCACCTACTGGTCCACCCCTCAAATGGGTACAGCAGGGCCTGCTCCAGCGGGGAGCTCTGACAGGAGCCAGAGCAGGCGGTGATGTGCGACAGAGGCATCTCAGCTGCTGGGCTGCACACCTGCCCCCTTGGACTTGAGCAGTATCTTTGTCCTTTGGGACTGACTGGTGCTTTCCTGTGTGGTGGTCGTTAAGTACATGCGGCTTTGTTGTCCAGGTACAGAGAAGATGGAGTCTGGGTCCTGGATCCCGCTGGTCTCGTCTGGGTGGCTTGGGCCATGCGTGCCCACACCCGTGTGGAGAGGCAGGTGTGGGTTCTCGACTCTCTGCCTGTGTGGCTCGTCTGATCTTAGTGTGTTCACAGCAAGCTCAAGGTCTGGCCATGTCTCAAGGTTAGTTAGATGCAGACCAGACTGTCGCCCTGAGACTGGTTCCTGTGTCGGTCCCGCTGCACCCCTGAGAACCAAGCTCGACCCCTGGGTTTTGTGTCCAGGACACAGCTGTTTGTGTGCTGCTAACGAGACTCTAATCTGAAAGGGGGATTCAGGAGCAAAGAGGTACAGGATTGTGTGGCACAGCAAGTCAAGCCACCACTTGCAGTGCTGGCCTCCCACATGGGTACCAATTCAGTCCCAAGCCTGGCTGCTCTACTTCCTCTCCAGCTCCCTGCTGAGGTGCCTGGGAAACTGACGCAAGATGGCCCAAGTGCTTGGGTCCCTGCAGCTATATGGGGGACACGGAAGAAGCTCTTAACCAGTGGCCATTTGGGGAGCAAACCAGTGATGGAAGATTCTTCTCCCTCCTGTTTTCCCCTCCCCCCCAGCCTCTCATTCCCCTCCCAGCCCCTCATCCCCCTCCCAGCCCCTCATCCCCCTCCCCCCTCTCATTCCCCTCCCAGCCCCTCATCCCCCTCCCCCCTCTCATTCCCCTCCCAGCCCCTCATCCCCCTCCCCCTCTCATTCCCCTCCCAGCCCCTCATCCCCCTCCCCCTCTCATTCCCCTCCTCCCTCTCCCCTTCCTCCTCTCCCCTCTTCTCCTTCTCCCCCCTCTCCTCCCGTCTCCCCCTCTCCTCCCCTCTTCCCTCTCCCCTTCCTCCTCTCCAGTCCTGCAGCCTCCTCCCCCCTCCCACTCCTCCATCCTCCTTTCTCTCTTCACCCTAGCCTTTTTCTCCCTCTGCCTTCTCCTTCTCTTTTCCCTCTTTCCCCACTCCATTCTCTCCCCCCTTGCTCTCACTTTCTCTATATACCTCTTTCAAATAAACAAATCTTTCCTTTAAAAAAAGGAGAACAGGGTTGGGGACTCTGAGTATAGGCTGCATGGGGCTTTATTCTGAAAGGAGAGCAGAAGTGTGGCGTCTCGGGCAGGTGGGGGTCCTGGGCAGGCTGGAGAGCTTGGCACTCGTCTGCTCATGGAAGAAGCTGGCAGCGCAGGGGAAAGGGGGATGTTACTGGGTTCTGCCCTTCTGTGGGCAGGGAAGAGGTCTGGGCAGGGGAGGCGGTGGTCATGAGAGGGGCCCCTCCCTCTGGAGCCCCTGGGAAGCTGTTCAGAGGGGTTGGGGTTCACCTTGACTTACGTGGAAGGCTATGGCGCCCCTGCGCTCCTCCCAGGCCATGCTGTGCAGCCTTGGTCGGCGTGTCAGCCCTCCTGCCACCGTCTAATGCACTGCTCTTAGGCAGTCAAGGCCATTCAGTTGTAGGCATCCATGTACCTGGGTTGCCTTTGTCGGCCCTGGCATAGTCAGCTGCAGCCAGAAGAACAGAGGCCTGGGAATGAGGCACAACTGGCCGGGGTGCAGGTGGCTCTGACAGGCACGGTCACCCGTCTGGCTGAGGGCCTTGTGTGCGTACAGGAGCCACTGGCATTTCTGCAGAGTGCATGAGCTGTATTTCTGACACTCATTTTAACTTTCCAGTTGCCTGTTTTTAATTGGTTATATTCTGTTTATTACAACATAAACCCTCTGCAGATACTTGTGCAATGAATGAGTTCTGAGATGACGATGGACTGTTTTCTCCCCTCAAGTCCGTATCAGTTTTATTTTTATTTTTACTTTGTGGGGCGGGGGGCAGGTGTCAAAAAGAAAATGGCTATACTTCAGAAATCTCTGTAATCTTTTTTTTTCTTCTTTTTAAATCAGACTTTTGGCAAAATGCTACCAGGCATGTCAGTATTGAGATTCACTCACTCGGCCCAGTAAACTGAAAGGCAGGTTCCGTTCTTCTGGAATCTAAAGGGAGCTACGAATCTGCAAACGTTTCTTCTAAGATAAGTATATGGAGAATATATATATATTTACGGATTATTATTATTCCCCCAAAGCTCAAAAGACACGCCATTGCTATAAACTTAATAAATATCTTGAGATTGGGTGAAATCCATTTGGGAAGTAAAGTGTTTTCTTAATGCGTTTGATCCAGATGTCGGCTCTCATTTGCTGGAGCACCAGCGCCGTTAGCCTGTCAGTTCCCTGCTGTCTACTGTTATTTAGTAGCTGGGGAGGCTGCGCGTGTGAGAGCTCACTGGGGAAGCTGAGGACACGCTGGAGCCTAGACCAGTGCCCAGCCGCGGTCCCTGTCCACAGCACCAGAGGTTCCACATGGGAAGTGTCTGTCGGTGCAGCTTTAGAGTCACCGCGTTAAGGCAGCCACGGTAGCCAACAGTGGCCACACATGTCCTCATCCTCTGTGCGGGTCGGCAACTGAGCCCCGAGCAGGGAGGCGTTGGCCATGCGTGTCCTCATCCCCCGCGTGGGTCAGCAGCTGAGCCCCGAGCAGGGAGGCGTTGGCCCCGCGTGTCCTCATCCTCTGTGCGGGTCGGCAGCTGAGCCCCGAGCAGGGAGGCGTTGGCCCCGCGTGTCCTCATCCCCCGCGTGGGTCAGCAGCTGAGCCCCTAGCAGGGAGGCGTTGGCCCCGCGTGTCCTCATCCTCTGTGCGGGTTGGCAGCTGAGCCCCGAGCAGGGAGGCGTTGGCCACGCGTGTCCTCATCCTCTGTGCGTGGGTTGGCAGTTGGGCTCCTGAGCAGGGAGGCATATGGTGAGTTGCACGGAGCTCTTCTGCATCGGCCAAGGCATGGAGCAGCCCTCTTGCCCTGTGTGTGTGAGCCCTCCACGCTGGTCGACCCACAGCTGTGACCACACAGTGACCCTGACCATGCATACGTAGGAGGCAGATGGCTGTTTGGGCTTCCAGTGACAAAGGTGCAGACACATCTCCTTGTTCTACTAGGAATATAATGCCTTTTACTTCTTGCATGATCCTTGTGCAAGACATGGGATTCCTGTGTGGGGGCTGGCACTGTGGCATAGGGCTAAGGTCTGCCTGCAGTGCCAGCATTGGTATGAGGACTGGTTCAAGTCCTGGCTGCTCCACTTGTGATCCAGGTCCCTGCTCATGGCCTGGGAGAAAGCAGAAAGCAGCCCCAAGTGTTTGAGCCCCTGCTACCCGTGTGAAAGACACGGGTGAAGCTCCGGGCTCCTGGCTTTGGTCCAGTTCCAACAGTTGGGCATTGGGGAGTGAACCAGCAGATGGAAACCGCTCTCAACGTGTAACTTTGTCAAATACGTACAGTGAATTAGTGTGAAAGACAGAACTCACGTGTGCCAGTTCCTAAGGTAGAAATGATCAGCAGAATGAAACCTTATAGTTTTATTTTCATAGATATGATTGTTTCATGTTCCTCTTTCCCTCCCATCCCTCGTGTGTGTGTGTGTGCATGTGTGTGAGAGAGAGAGAGACAGGCAGTTAGATCTTCCCATCTTGTGGCTATGATGATGTGATGGTCAGGTCTAGGGTGGGCCAAGGCCAGGAGCTTGCAACTTCATTCTTGTCTCCCACATGGGTGGCAGGGACACAGCTTTCCCAGGCACGCTGGCAGGGAGCTGGATTAGAAATGGAGCAGCCAGAGCCCAGTGCAGTAGCCTAGAGGCTAAAGTTCTCGCCTTACATGTGCTTGGATCTGATATAGGTGTTGGTTCGTGTCCAGGCTCCCCTACTTCCCATCCAGCTCCCTGCTTGTGGCCTGGGAAAGCAGTTGAGGACAGCCCAAAACCTTGGGACTCTGCATCCACGTGAGAGACCTAAAAGAAGCTCCTGGCTTTGGATCGGCTCATCTCCGGCATTTGTGGCCACTTGGGAGTGAATCAACAGACGAAAGATCTTTCTTTCTCTCCTTCCCCAGTTCCAGGTCGCACTGTTGGGAGCCCAACCAGCTCCACCCACTAGGGTCTCAAGCTTCTGGCACATGTGCTGGCCTGGTGCCTTACCTCTCCACATATCCAAGATCCAGGCCCATTGAAGTTCTCCAGGCCTGGTGCACCAGCACACCAGGGCAGCATGCTGTCCTGGGACACTCTCCTCCCTTCTCCCCTCCCCTTCTCTCGCCTCCCCTCTCCTCTCCCTTCCTCTCCCCAGACAAGCACATGAGGAAATCCACAAGTCTGTTCCACTTGCTTAGACATGAGCTCCCAGGTCCCCACATGCCCATTGGTGCTATGCCCCTAGCTTCCACTAAGCCCATATCACTGCCCAGCCCAGCCCAGCCCAGCCCAGCTCATACCTCATATCTTATAAGCTGAAAAGAGAGAGCTCCACGCAGGCATTGGATGGGAGCTGGGCCCGTGAGCAGGTCCCAGTGGGCTTTGGAGACTTGGGTGAGGGGCCGGGATGGCTCGTTCCCTGTGGAGTTTGTGAATGTGGATTGTGTTGTCTTTCCTGAATGTTTGTGTATGTGGGTTTATTGCTGTGCGGTTACTAACCCTGCTTTCCCTTGTTCCCCATTTGCTCTGGGGGAGGACAGGTGCACGGAGGAGGATGGGCTGGGCTGCAGGGAACTGTGCTCTGCTGCCAAGCCACTCCCCACATCCCCACCGTGGTCCTGCCCTCCTTCCATTGTAGATGCAGCATGAACTGGCAGGAAACCTTTCAGAGCCTGGCATTTCTCAGTCTATGCAACATCCTCAGACCCAGCTCTGTCCATCCTCCTCTCCCTCCCCAGCCACCGGCACATGCGTGTGCGTGCACGCATGGCCTGCTCAGAAGATTTTTATGTTTTTTTGTGTCCTCCTTCCACATTTGCTTTCTTTAGTCATCCAAACACTGTTTTCTTTCATTTCCATCACATTCCGCCCACCCCGCTTCGTTGTAGTTCTTTACTCTTCTCCCAGATTCTTAAATCTTGCCCCTAGGTGATTTTATTTTTCATTCCTGACACTTGTGGGTGCTGGGGAAAATGCCCAGAAAGTTGAATCAGAAGAGGATTGCATTTTCTGTGAGCTGCGCCAACGCCCTCCTCCGCCTGGACCCTGGCATCAGCACAGGCTGCCGCAGGTGCTGCGCCCTCGGGGGCACGCGGCGTGGGGTTGAGTAGGTGGTCTTTAGGAGCCCACATCCTGCTAACCTTTGTGGAATAACTGATTCTGTTCCCCAGCTGTTGGGACATCTGGCCAACTGTGTGACGTCTGACCCACAGATCCAGCCAACCACGGATGGATCTGATCAGGAGAAAGGAATTCCACCTGAGGTAGGCCCACACTGACTTTTCCTTCTATTGTCGTTTGTCACGGTACAGTGCCACAAAGACTCACACTCTGGTTTTAAAGAGCAATCCAGATGTGCTTAGGTCCTATTTTGTTCTTGGTTTTTAAAGGTTTATTTTGTATATTTAAAAGGTGAAATAAGAGATCATATATGTGTGGTTCATCCCACAGATGGCCACAGTGGCTACTGCTGGGCCAGACAGAAGCCTGGAGCTTCATCTGGGTCTCCCACAGGGGTGGCAGGGACCTCGAGCTTGGGGCTGTCCATTAGCAGGGAGCTGGATCCAAAGTGGAGCGGCACCCAGTGTGATGGGGTGCCAGTGTCGCAGGCGGTGACCTGACCAGCTGCATCCTGTGCAGTCACAGAGTGCGCGTCTTTGCAAATCCTGTGCTGTTCCGTCAGGGAGGGGGGACCTGAGACCAGCCCCTCCTGGTCCCGGAGGACACCTGTCATCTATAAACGCCCTCAAAGTAGGGAGCGGCGTGGAAACGCGGGTTATCTTGTTGCTGAGGGTGAGGTGTTGTAGTCCCAGTGCAAACTGCTCTGTCCAGAGGACACCCTCAGGTGACTGGAAACGGCCCTGAGTTTGCTCTATAGTGTTTTCTCACACACTGTCTGTGGAGCCTGCCTTGGTCCTGTGTGCTCTGGCTCTGTGTCAGTGACGGGAACAACTCTTGTCCAGCCATTGGCCATGTGACCTGAGGAGCACTTTCCCTGATGCCATCTCTGCGTCCTTGAGCCCACCAGCTGCCGCTTTTGCTGGTGTGCATTAGCAGCTACTGGGTGTAGTGGCTGAAAACTGCCTGTTAACAGCCAGTTTTTCCAAACTCGCAGTCCCGCCCTTTGGCCTTTCTTGCAGTTTGGGGCTATGGAGAGGGTTAGGTGCCTGAAAGTGTAGGATCGTGCCTCTCTGCTCGTCCTGTTCTTGCACCTCACACTTCAGCGCTGTATTCTGTCCTTTTACCGTCAGCCACCCCAACCCTTGAGCTCTGGTAGGTTTTTGCAAAGTAGCATGTAGTTACTTAAGGGATGTTGAGTTCACTCACATTTATGATTAAGTAGATGTCTATTGCTTTTATATTCTTATTTTAAATCTGTTGATTTTTCTTTATTTGAAAGGGAGCTGGAGGCGGGGTCGGAGAGGCGCTGGCTAGAGACCAACTGACCTCTCCTATGTGCCGGCTCACTCCCCGGGTGTATGCCACGCTGGGGGCTGTGCCAGGCCGAGCCAGGAACCCAGAACTCCATTCGGGGACCCTTCGGCTTTGGCAGAGATCCAGATACTTGGCCCATCTTTTGCTGCCTCCCAGGTGCCCATCAGGAGACAGCAGAGGAAGCAGGGGTCAGATCAGACCCTCACGCCCACAGCTGCTGTGCCAGTGTGCCCAGTGCCCACCCTGCCCTGCCTGGAAGCTTTTTTTCTTCTCACCATTGCCTATTTCTTTAGATCAGTCAGGGTTTTCAAAAGCGGTGTTTTTTTCCCTCTCTCCCCTCCACTAACTAGTTTGGAAGTACGCTTTGTATTTTGTGATTCTGCACTCAGTCACCCCCTTCTTCCCAAGCCTGCAGCATTGTGACGCCTTGTCCGTGTCACTGCAGAGGAGGCATCCCTCTTCCTCCTGTCAGTATTTGCTTCCCTTTGAGTCATGCTGACCCTGTTCTCTGTTCACTATTCCTTCATGCTTCTCCGACTTCTCCTCTATGGTTGTTTTCTAATGTTTCTTTTAAAAATCTTAATGATGTGTTTATTTGAAAGGCAGGATTTGAAGGAGAGACCTTCTGTCTGTTGACTCACTCCCCACATGACATTTATGGCTGGGGCTGGGCCATGTGGGAGCTGGGAGCCTGGAGCCCCCTCCCGGTGTCTGACCTGGGTGCCAGGGCCCAGGAACGCGGGCCGTCTGCTGCTGCCTTCCCATGCACGTTCACAGGGAGCTGGGTCGGAAGTGGAGCAGCGAGGGCTTGAACCTGTGTTCATATGGGAGGCCAGCATTACAGAGCCAGTGGCACCACAGTGTTGCTCAGTGGGGATAAGCAGGGTGGAGGGAATGTCCACTGCACTGTGGTGGTTGTGGGCCATCAGACATCTCCCCTTACGGTGGCGGGGAGGCCCTGTTCCAGAGTGATCGGGGCCTGTGTGTGTCAGAGACCTGGGAAGTGTGGGTGAGGAGGGAGAGCAACGCGGACACAGCACGTAAAACGTCAGAACCCATGCTTTAATAGACACGACATCACAAAGGAAGGAGGCCAAGTGCCTCCGCAATCTCCATAAAAATATGAAGTTCTTCTCCATGGTAAACTTTGCAATAGAAAAAGTGTAATGCCGTCTGGAAACCGTGTCATTTACAAAAAAGTCCACAGAGGCCAAAGATGGCTAACACCACACGTAGGGAAGGAGTGTGAGTGGCCAGTGGGGGGTGTCGGCAGAGGGAGGGGACCTTGGGGGTGCCATCGGGGCTGGTGCAAACAGCGGCCCGGTCCACAAAGCACAGGTACAGTCATTTCAGATGAAACAGCGAAACAGGTGATGGAGTTACAAGGTAGTTACTTTCTGCCTACTCTTGGGCGCAAACCAGATTATTGCATCGGGTTTTCCCAACCTGAGCCCAAGCTGACCAAGCTGTCCTCCCGGGGAGTCTGTGAGCGGGCGTGGCTACGCGGCCAGTGCCCCTCAGCCGGGGATCCCTGGGACTGAAGGAGGTGGGGGCGGGACGAAGGGAGGGCCTTGAGGTGAGAAGTGTTGCGTTTTGCTGCATGCTGATGTGGACCCAGCTGTCCATTTCAGTGGCGATTTTCTCTTGTTGGTCCTGGTGACCAGGGGTTCCTGAGAGGAGTGATGGCTCAGCTCAGTTGCTGTGTGCTGAGGAGCCGTGGGGGCAGGGCAGGGCATCCCAGTTTCCGGGACTAAGGTGAAGCCTGGCCCAGGCAGGGGGTCCTTTCTTTACCCAGCCTGCCCCCCATGCTCAGGGTGCCCAGGCTCCCTTGAGCACTCTCCTCCTAAGCTTGGGTTTTACGTCGTCTGTCCTGGGAGTCAGAAAACTTCGCCTTGAAGGGCCCAGTATTGGATATTTTAGGCATTGTGGGCTAAGAGGTAAAATTGAGAATATTGTGTAAGTATTTATATAACCATTGGTAAAATCTATCCTTAGCTCAAGTCCAAATGTGACCTGTGGGGGACCGATGCCACCCGGAGCCCAGCGCCTCTGTGACGGGTGTGCCGTCTTTGGTGTGAACTGAACTACACTGGGTTGCGTGCTTTTTGCTTGGGACGGCACCAGGGCCCAGGGGCGGCAGGGCACGCCGCAGCTCTCCTGGCTGTGCAGTGCTGGTCTCCCCTTGTTTCCCTCTCTGAGCAGCCTATTGTTTATAAAGCACTTCTCTGCCAGGGTGGGGCTCCCGAGGAAGGGCACAGCTCCGACCCCGAGCCGGGAGGCCGCAGCGGCTGTCCCAGGAACAGGCTGCCCGGGCCAGGTAGCAGCCTGCTCTGGGACGTGCCCTCGCAGGGGGGAGGAATTATCTGAAAGAAACATTTAAATTGTCCACCAAAATGTTGTTCTAAGGATGGTTTTCAGTATTTCATTGCTTTATTAAAATAAATTAAAGGCTGTCATCCCCCACTGGCCCAGTCCTTGCCGTCTCAGGGCTGTGGGCACTGTGGGGGCACGCACCGACCCCGGGCTGGAGGGGACGGCAGTGACGGTGGGCAGCTGACCGAAGGGGACAGGAGCTGAAAGGCGCAATTCTGATTCAACCTCATTAGCTGGGGAGAGGTTGTTGTTTTTGCATGTGAGGAAGCTGAATAATTCTAACCTTCCCCCTAAGCTTGATAATTATTTACTGATGACTGTTCAGAATTTGACATTTTACAAAACCTTTTTGAGATTTTTAAAAATAACAGCTATAAATGCAAAGTGCTATTGATAATAAAACCAGGTTGTTTATCCATGTACAAAAAAGATCAGCAATGTTTTAAAAGCACAAAGTTGCATTTTAAATCACAATTGCATAGTTCTGAAATGCCTGGATAACAGTTATGTAAATTTCTTAAGAAAATTCAAGTTTGGTTGGCAGTGGGGCCCAGAGGAGGGTGGCGAGCTGGGTGGAGCAGAGCCGGGCCAGGTGCGGGTGCCATGGATTCTTGTCGTGGCCGTGGGCGCCCCTTCCTGTCTTGGCTGGGACAGCACGTGCTGTGAACGTGCCCCTGAGGGTCTGTGCTGCTCCCCCCAGGACACCTGAGCAGGAGCTCTGCTCCCCAAGAACAGAGGCCGGGTTTGGAGGAGATCCTGTTGTGTCTGCCTGAAACCCCATGGTGAGTGTGGACAGTGCCTGAGTCTCCGTGCTGACCCACGGCAGTCCTGCTTTGGGGGAATCGGCCCAGAGGAGCCGCCATGTATGGTGGTGGCCCTCACCCCGAGCGTGCAGAGGCGGGAGGTGGTGCTGGTGGCTGCATGGGGACGACCCCGCCAGCCCGTCCAGGACAGTACTGGGAGTCTTGGCCGCTGTGCAGATGCTCTAGCACTTGGAGGAGGGGAAGAACCTGCCCGGGGACAGGAACTTGTAGCCGTTTCCGGAGGGGAGTCTCAGAGGGCGCGCAGGTGCGACGCTGGCAGGGCCCACAGTCTCAGGGCGCCAGTGTCCGTTGGGGGGTGCCTGCTGTGGCGCCGACAGCTCCTGCAGCTCCAGCCTGTCCACCCCCTCCTCCTTCTTGTTGTGTCGGGGGGACAGGTTCAGCAGGCTGAGGACGTCCCTCTTGGACGTCAGGGTGCCGGGGGTGCCCCGGAAGAGCTTCATGGGCCCTGGCGGGTGCTGGGGTGTGCTCTGCCAGAACATCTTGAGGTTGTGGACAGCCTGCACCTTCTCATCGATGGCGGCCATCTTCAGCTTGTCTAGGTCTGGCGCATCAGCCGGGCTCGAGCGTGCGGAGCCAGCCGAGGAGTAGGAGAGTGCTGGGGATGGGGCGCTGCCCGCGGGTGACTGGTGACCCGAGCTGGGGGACAGGTTCCTTGGTGACTTGGAGATGTGCCCACTGTAGGGCGAACTGGGGTACTTGAGCTTGAAGAGTGGCTGGTCAGGAGAGGGGCGGTCGCCGTGCTGGCTCGGGCTGTCCTTGGCGGACGTCTCCGAGGCCGTGGGGCTGCTGCAGCCGGAGCCCACCTTGGGGAGGGACGAGCTCCGGGTGGGGGGCTTTGGTCTCACGGGCACTGGTGAGGCCTGGCTCTTCTGGTGGGACAGGACGGGCCTGCTGAAGGCACTCGTCTCGGATGCCCTGAAGACGCAGCCACTGGGCACTGGGCGCACGTCCTCAGGGCCGGGGCCTTTGGTGGCCTGGCCACTGCGCTGCAGCCGTTCCACGGCCAGGAGGTGGCTCTGCGTCTCCTCCAGGATCTTCTGGGCCAGCTCCTGCGGCTCAAGCTTGGGCTCGCTCTCCTCCTGGGACTTCACGGTGCTGTCTGTCTCGGTGCTGGACTGGTCCGACTCCCCCGTGTCGGAACTCGCCAGCTTCCCCACCTTTTGGAAGGGGGAGTTGGGGCTGGGAATGAGTGTCATCTTTACTGGGGAGTTGGGGGTGCTGACACTCCCCCGGGAGCTCACGGAGGCCTTGGGCCCACCCCGTGGGACCTTGGGGTCCGGTGAGAAGCGGCTCTTCCTGCTCTCGGGGTAGGCCAGGGGCTCAGTGCTGATGATGGAGAAGCCCTCGTATTCTTCTTCTTCCCTGTGGCCCGCGGGGCGGCTCTGGGTGGGCAGGGTGGCCCGCTGCGGGGCGGTGTTCTTGGCCCGCTCGTAGTCTTGCCGCGCCCTGGGGCCCCCACCTTCCAGCCCCACCTCGGGCTTGGAGACGAAGCTCATGGAGGAGGCAATGGAGCTGAGGCTGTACACGGAGATGGCGTCAGAGGCCACGCTGTCCACACCCGTGGGGGAGAAGGGTGGGTGCTGGAAGCCCGCGGGCAGAGCATTGGAGACGGACTGTGCAGAGGCCAGGGACTCCAGCGAGGAGGAGCTGTCCAGGCTGAGGCGCTTGGGCAGCTCTGTGGAATCTGAAAACAACCAAGCGGGCACTTAGCTGGGCGGCTCTGAGCTGCTGCCATGCTCCCAACACCCGGACAGCACAGCCAAGCCCTGGCCGCTGCTCTGCTTGGGACAGAGCCCTGTGTCGCCGTCCTAACCCCCACCCTGTCCAGGCTACTCAGGAGGTAGCGCTCTCCCTTTCAGCTGCCTCTCCCCCTACCCTGCCCACCCTCACTGACCCTTCCCCTGCCCTGCAGGTGTCCCTGGAAGAGCCCAGGCCAGACCTAGCCAGTCACACAGACCCTGCGAATGGCTGCTGGCCTTGGGGGCCACGACCTCACTGCCCTACTCCGCTCTCCTCGCAGGCCGCGTCAGCACACCAAGCACCCCGTGGGAGTGCAGGGCCCGGCTGGCCGTGCGTGCACCAGCACACCCCCATGCACTGTTCTCCCACGGTGCCGGCGCCAGGGAGGCTCTCACCGAAGAGCGCGAGCAGGGCCTGCAGTGCAAAGTGCATGGCGCGCCGGCTGGCCTGCTTCCCGGTCTTCAGGATGACCTCCTCCTGACCGACCTCGCAGAGATCAAAACCTGGGGGAGGGTAGAGAGACTGTGAACACGCGCTCCCGTGGGACGCTCTACACCGAGTGCACCAGGGCAGCCACTGCACGTGGCCCTGTCACCAGATGGGCTGCTCCACTGCTGGGCTCTCATGCACTCGGGCTGAGCTAGAGCAGGTGTGCCTACAGTGGCTTCTCTTCTTTGTCCCGGAAGCATCTGCCTAGAGCATTGCAGCCAGAGATGGGCCATGCCCTCTGCCATGGCCCAGGACTGTGGGTTGCAGCTCTGGCTGGCCAAGCCACCTGCAGTGATGGCCCTCTGCCCCAGCCAGGCCAGTCCTCTCCTCAGGGCGCCAGGCCAGCTGACGTGCTGCTGGACAACACTGCAGGTCTGTCTGCCTGAGGACAGGCTGCCTGCCCGAGGACAGGCTGCCTGCCCGAGCGGTCAGCACCCAGAGTCTTACTGCGGGGATCGCCAAACCGCACCTGGGGGCCTGTACAGGCAGACTCGCTGGGGCAGCACCCTGGCATTCTGGGCACCATGACTCAGACATGGTCCCTGAAGCCAACAGGAAGTTTCCAAGGGCTCCAGCAGGACTGCACTGTGCAGCCAGGAAGCCACAGCAGTTCACCTGGAGCCACAATGCTGGCTCCAAGTCAGCTCCCTGCTAATGGCCTTGGAAGTCCCTGCCTCTACCAGGAGACCCTGATGGAGTGTGTCTCTTGGCTTGGGCCTGGACAGCCCTGGGTGTTAGGCACAGGTGAGGAGTGAACCAGCAGAGGGAGGCTTATCAGTGAGGTCTTCACATGACCGCCCCAGCCTACCCAGGGACTCTGCTGAAAGGCTGTGCCAGGTACCCCAGCCCTGCCACCTGCCAGTTTCCAGAAGCAAATGGCAGAGGCCACTGCTTTGGAGGGCTCTGAGTTTATGCTTTCCTCAGCACAGCGTACCCTCCGAGAGCGCGTGTTAAGGGGACAGAAGCGGCCTAGGCGGCCAGGTGCATGGTCCTACCCAGAGCCGCCAGGAACTCGTGGCAGCCAGGGAGCCGCCACAGCTGCACGCTGATGGAGACCTGGATGGGCGCTGCGGCGAAGTCCTGCTCCTTCTCGCTGGCCTGGAGCTGCACCAGCACCTGATGGAGCTGCCGGGGAAGAGGCAGGTGTGAGTGACCGCCTGCGCTGGTCTCAGACGCTCTCCCCTGAGCCCTGAGCCCGGCACTGCTAATGACCCTCTCCCTCTCGCCTCGCGGGCAGAGTGCCAGGATCCTACAGGGGACTTCCCGCTGCCTTGTTTGAGATCCAGGGCACTGGGGGGCCGGGGGGCCGAGCAGGGTAGTGGCCTCGGGGGCTGCTCACAGCAGCTCTCAAATGCACAAGAGGGGCCTGCCTGCCAGCTGCCCATCAGGGTCAGCAGTGAAGAGGAAGCGTGGGTCTCAGTCCAGCACACAAGGACAAATGCGTGTGGCCACTGGGCGCACCGCAGGGCTTGGCAGCCCTCAGCATCACTCATGCTGACTGTACCCACCCCTACTGTCAGGGGGAGCCTGACCACGTCAGATCAGGGACATAGACGGGCAGAGCAGGAGAGGGGCAGCCAGAGCAGAGCAAAGGGCTGGCTCAGGCCAGCTGGGCTGGAGCCGTGCTGGGCAGTGCGTGCATGCCAAGCTCAGCGCATGGACGGGGCTGGTGCAGGGATTGGGGGGGCGGGGGACAGGTCGGGGCCGCGGGGTGCTCACCTTACCAGTCGCTACTGAAAGCAATACTCACCATTCCCACCATATTTTTAACAGCCTTCGGCCAGCAGAGAAAGAGAGAGAAAGAGAGATTTAGACTCAAGCACAGGCTGTTATGCAACACGAGCTGATTGCTGCTTTAGGAAGCACCATAGCAGGCCGTGGCTCTGACTGCCACTTGGGAGAGGAGCAAGAGCCAGCAGGGGACACACACAAGGGGACGTGCAGGGCCAAGGGGCACAGGCAGGGTCAGCCGGGCCTGTCCTTGCTTGCCAGAAGAGGCTGGAGGGAGTGAGGCACAGTGGTCAGCTGTGTGTGTGGGTCCTAGGTGAGGCCACTGCTGCTTGTGGGACACTTCGGCACAGCTCCCTGGGGCACAGTGGGGAAGCAGTTGGAAAACTCCTCGCACTCCCCCAAAACCTGCTCTGCAAACCAACTCATGCACTTCTTGGCTGTTTGCTTTTGTAGAGCGCACGTCTGCTTCTGCCTCCGGACAGCGCAGTCACGGGGCAGCGAGCAGGTGCTCACGCAGAGACGGGGCGGCTCCAGGCACCCCTCAGGTGAGTCCTAGAGGGACAGCTTTGTTTCTGTGTGGAAATCGGCTGCTTAAGAGATCTGCCTGAAAGCCCTGGGAGCAGCGCTGCCACTGTCTCCAAGCTCTGCATTCCACAGTAACCAGGAAAAACTCCCCAGGCGGCTGCTGATGGGGTGTGGCAGGGAGAGCTGCTTAGCAACATGGGCATCCCCTACGGGCACCAGTTCAGGTCCTGGCAGCTCCAGCCCCCTGCTGATACCTGAGAAAGCCCAGGTTGGAGATGAGGATGGGGTTTCAGTCTTGTCTGTCTCCACCACTGTGGGCATTCAGGGAGTGAATCAACAAATACAAGATCTTCGCCTCCCCCACCCACTCCCTTACTGTGTTTGTAATTCTGCTTTTTGAATTAAAAAATCTAAACTGCTCCATGCTCTTCAGGGGCCTCCCACATATGGGGCCATCCCGGGATTATGTTAGACCCCGCTGGCTGCTCAGGGGAGAAGCCCCCAGGTTCCCGCCCACAGCATCCTGGCTGTGGTGCACAAGCGGGGCGCGGCTCTGTCAGCCAGCTGAGGAGCCAGGGTGGGATGGTGGGGGGTGGGAGGCCATGACTGGAGGCTGGGGAGCTGCCCTGCGAAGGTGGTAGGACAGCAGCCCGGGGAACTGCCACCTTAGAACCAGCAGGTGCAGGGTGTGGCCATAGCCACCCGCCCCCAGGCCGCACTTACCCGGCTGATGAGCTGTTCGCCAGTCTCTGACGCTGTGATGAGCTTGCACAGGGCTTGGAGGGCAGGGTTGGGTAGACCTGAACAAGAGAAGGGCAGGAGTTACTTGGGGGACTCCTGCACCCACAGTCCTGCCCTCTCCCAGAGCAAAGAGCCTTCATGTGGCATTGGTGGTGCTTGGAAAAGGTGACCCCCGAAGAGAAGGTCCCCAAGGAAGGAGGTGGAGCAGGGCACACCCCAAGCTTATGTCGTCCCCTCAGGATGGGCCTGCTCCGAGGGTCCGCGTGGACACTTGGCCTCCAACAAGGTCGTCCATGTGGCTCTGCGCCACTCCCAGCTGTCAGCAACTGCTTGCAGGATTTACTTCCTGTCACCTTTAAAGGGGCAGGGCCTGGGACGAACATGTCCCCCCACTTCCAGGGAAGGCAGATCCTGGGGCCCTCCCCTTCCCCACGTCCTCAGCCCTGGGCTCACCCAGCAGAGACTGCAGGGTGCTGCTGCACTGCTGGAGCCGGTCTCCTGGGTCAGCGGTGGGGAAGAAGACGGCCGCTGGCAGCCCACTGGCCGGGGGGTCCAGGCGGAAGCCCACAGCAGTGAGCAGGGCCTGCCAGCCAGGGATGCCACCCACTTTGTTCTCCACGCTCTGCTGGGACGTGTACATGGCGTTGCGCTGCCCGTTCTGGATGCGCTGTAGGGACTTCTCCACCTGGCAGGACACAGGCTCGGTCAGAGGGCTGACTAGCCAGACGACAAGGACACCGGCTTTATGGCCTGCCGGGTGCCACATGGAGGGCCCTGTCACTTCCCTCAGCGTTCCTGCGCTGGCTCCTCACACAGGCAAGCCCAGGTGGCTGGATAGTAAATCTCAGCCTGGGACCCACCCACAGCACAAAGCTGCCGCCTCCTGGCCACTGGAAGGACCCTCAGCTCCTCCAGAGCCCCTACTGCAGCTAGGGCCCCCCTCCGCAGTTCGGCCCTCTCACTGTCCCTCAGCGCCGGCCTCCCCTTCTGCCTTGCCAGGGTCTCATGGCTACCTCGACCCATGGCTGAGTTGCCCATACTGGGCACTATAATCATGCTTTCCAGCAGGCCTCTCCATGACCCTCCAAGTGCCCCCTTCCCTGGGCACCAGTGGAGAGGCAGAGAAGCCCAGGGCGCCAGACAGAGGAGGTAGACCAAGCACAGTGGGCAGGAGCTGGCCTTCCTGGCAACATGTGCCTGACCCACTGGCCCAGGAACCCCTGCTCCTGGGACCGTGGGGCCGTGGAGCTTGAGCCACAGCCCCGCAGCTAGCCCAGGAGGCAGAGCCAAGGAAGGAGACCTTCGAGGCATGCCCGAGGGGCCTGGCCTGGGACCAGAAATGGGCACTAGGCAGAGTTCCATTTCCTTAGAAAGGCAGCCTGGGATCCCAGCAAGGAAGAGAGAGCTGTGGGGTAGTGCCCAGAGGCTGGCATCGGTGGCAGCTGTCTCCTGATACATACCAAGCCATTGCAAGTGGCACTAGCCTGTTCACACCCCCAACGGGGTATGGGTTGGCTCAGTGTCACCAAGAGTAAAGAAAGAACCACCCCACCTGGCCTGCCCTTCTGGAGGAGCCAGAATTTGGCACAGCCAAGGGATTTGCCTGCCAGGAGCTTCACTCCTGCCCTGATGTGTGTGCAGCTCCAGTGGGGTGGCGGCATGGGGCTGTGCTTTATGGCAGAGGTGTGGAGCCACGTGGTTGTGACGGACCACCATGGTGTCCAGGCCTTGTGGGAGGAGCTGGTGAGCTGGAAGGACGCGTGGGCTGTGAGCGGCCCAAGTGCCCCAGAACTGCCATCCAGGTTGCTGGTGATGCCAGGAGGGCAGTTTGCTGCTTTGTTTAGACCAAGACCGGCCTTGGTTTACCCCCTTGCCATCAGCCAGCAAGTTCAGCCAGACCAAGAACACTATCTTGTAGCTGAGCTCAGGGAAGAGACCCTGCACCCCACTGTCCCCTCCCGTGTGCGTGCAGCCCGGGGGCGGGGTACCGCCGGCCTCTCACCAGGTGCAGCAGCACACGCAGGGCGTCCCGCGCTCGCTCTGGGTGCTGCAGGATCTCCGTGAGGGCCTGGCCGATGATGGACGAGGGACTGTTGAGCTTGACATCATTCCCGATGAGCAGAAACCCTGTGGGGAGCGAGCACAGGAGGTCACCTCGGCAGGAAGCCGGGGCCAGCTTCCCCCTGTGCAGGTCCCTTTGGAGAGCCGAGGTTGGGAGCACAGTGGTGAGCCAGGGGTTCTGATGGGGCTCCTGCCCCCCAGCTCCCCTCATGCCAGGGCCGGGAGCACCTGCCTGGGCTGTTAGGTTCAGCCGCGCACACAGTGAGTTTCCCCTAGTGAGATGTATGTGTAAGCACAGGTTCTCCTGGGTGGTCCGCCGTGCCCCAAGGTTTAAGATGGGTCAGGATGGTTGTGATCCCCAGGATGGTTGGGACCTGGGCTGGGCTCCGGGGCACCACAAGCCTGGCCTCGCCCCGCAGAGGGTCTCTGCGCAGGACCTGCTGCGTGCGTTCTCCCCACCATGACCTGGCAGGCAGGGGGCACGCCGCACGCTGGCTGGGGACCTCACACCGGTCACCACAGGCACGCCCTCCCTCCCGGCGGGCCGTCTGCCCAGGACATGTCTGCCATCCTCACAGGGCCTCGTGGCTGCCCAGGCACTGGCTTCCAAGAGGGTAAGCCCTCTCAGGTCTCACAGCAAGGCGTGGGCGAGGCCCACCCTAAAGCCTGCGGTGGGGTGGGGGTGTTCCGGGTGGTCCCCACTTGCCCCCCAGAGGCCTGGTCCTCACTGCTGTGTTCTGTGACAGGAGGAGGGGCTGCTTGGGCCGGTGAGCTGGGCTCCACACACGCAGCCCTGCTCACTGCAGCTCAGGCCTGGGGCCGCGCCTACCTGCCCAGTGCGAGGGGTGCGAGAAGGCCTTGCTGCTCTGCACTGCTTTCATGGCCTCGCCCAGGGCGGCGCTGGCCTTGAGGCCGCTCAGCAGGGACGAGTAGAAGGCGTGGATGAACATCTTGGATGCGGCCACGGGTACCGGCCACAAGGACACCAGCACACACTGCGCACCGGCAGCTAGGAAGGCGCGGGTCAGCGCCACGACCCCGTCGGCCGTGACTTTGCTGTTGGACTCCTGGGAGGAGCCGAGCACCACCAGCTTGACGGGCAACCGCAGGTCCAGGACGTCGGCCGCGGTGAGCAGCAGCTCCTGCAGGGGCGGGCAGTCCGAGATGCTCTCGGCGTCGCTGGCGTCGTCCTGGACCCGCAGAGACTCAGGGATGGTGTAGGGGTGTCCGAAGGAGCTCTTGCTGCCGGCGGGGTTGCCGTCTGCGCTGGGCGTGAGGACCAAGGCAGACAGCTTCCAAGAGATGTGGGTGGCGAAGTGCACGCACTCGGCCTGGGTCAGGGCGCTCATTACCCTCTCCTTGGTGGCCACACTGCCCACCAGAGGCTGGCAGCCCAGCAGCTCCGACACCATGTAGGCCTCCTCCTCGGCCGACGGCATGGGCCCCCACAGCCACCTGTCCATCACCGCCGACGGCAGCTTGGGGTTGCCGACGACGGCTGCCATGGAGGTGGAGCTGGAGTACGTGGGCGAGGTCTTCCTCAGCTGAGACTAGGAGGGGACACAAGCAGGTCAGCATCTACAAGTGACACTTCCCATACCCTTGGACCCCCTTCTGCTCGGGCAAGTGTCTGACCTCCCGCCACCCACACCTGCTCTGACAAGTTCTTGATGAGAGGACTGGGCAGGAAGCAGCACACTTCCTGTCCGTCAAGTCCTTGGGGTCTGGAGAAGAAGTGAGCGTGGGTAGTGACCCACAGTGCTCACTCCCAGGGGTCCCCGCACAGCCCCTGGGAGTAGCAATGGCTCCGGGTTTGTGCACCTCGGCCTCAAGGGGTGGCACCACACTGAGCCCTTAGGGATGCTGCACGCACAGACCATGGCTCCCTTCTGCATGCTGGCTGCCCAACACTGCAGCAGCAGACAAGCACAGCGGTATCCGTGTTCTCCCCATGGAGATGTCAAAGATTGAAGCTAACCTTCTGGCACCTCTGCCTGGTGCCTCCCTGGTTAAGGTGCGAGCCTGCTGCTAGCACCCACCTCGGCAGGCGCCGTGAGAACCAGCATGACTGAGCCAAGGCCCAGCCAGGATTAACAGGCTGAAAAGGAGTGATGGGGGCTGCCTGCACACAAGGCCCGGAGCTTCGTTCCTGAACAGGAGGGTCCTGAGCCAGGGCCCTGCTGGGTCGGCTACAGGGGAACGGACACAGACAGTGCCTGGGCTCAGAGTGCGGCTGGCAAGGTCAGGTCCTCGCGGTGGAGGCCATCCTGCAGCTGGGGCAGCAAGGGGGGCAGCAGTAGGTCAGAGGCCGCGATCCAGGCAGGAGACTGCTGCCCACCCAGCTGCCATCGCTGAGGGAGACAGGCTCAAGCCTGCCTGTGTCCTGAAAGCCGCCCTGTTTGCTGCCAGGGTCTGCGGGGCTATGTGCCATTTGACACCATCTGATCAGCCATCCTTGTCCTCGGCCCCTCCCTTGGGCAGCGCCAGGCAGGGGTGACCAGCTCCCGGGCCATTCAGCTGGCCTCAGCTCTGGGCCTTGGTGCAGCTAGGAGCTGTTGCTGCAAAGTGGTGACTCCCTAAGGAGCAGAGAGGAGTTCTCACCCCGAGCCACACTGGGAGTCCTACCTTGGCGTGTGTGCCCAGCGAGCGGATGGCGGGCACGGCGATGAGGGCGAAGCGCTCGTAGAGGTACTCGTTGGAGGAGCTTCCCTTGAGCAGGGCGAAGGGGATGAGGTAGAGCTCCCCCTCCAGCACCAGGACCAGCTGCCGGTGCCGACCCACGGGGCCGCTTGAGTGCATCAGGCCCTGCGGAGGGAGCACAGCAGGCTGATGGGACGCCCTGCACAGCGAGCTCGCTCCCAGACCGACTGGGCAGCACTGAGGCTGGGTGAGCTGGGTGGGCAGAGCCATGCTACCACTCGGATGCTCACGGTCTCGGAAAGGCCCAAGTAGGTAGGACAGTCCTGGTCCAGGGTGGCGCCCCTGGGAGGGGAAGGTCCCAGCTGCAGCCTGCCAGTGGAGGGTGGTTTTCAAATGCCACAGAATCCTCTGGAGGCCCTGCTCCCTGCCCGCTGCTAGACCCCTCCCCGCTAGAACACGGCCATGGCCACACGTGGGCCTCATTAGAGGTCAGCCCAGCAGGTCTGATCTCAGAGCTCATCCTCCAAAGCAAGCCACCTCACGCTCTGCTTTCATCCCAGGGCAGGCCCGGGGAAGAGCCAGAGGCAGCTCCATGGCCTGGGGTCCCTGTGGGTCAGGTGCAGGGGCGGCACCAAGAACATGGGAGCAAGGCACAGGGCTCCGGCAGCAGCAGGTGGGGCGCCCGTACGCCTTCCCCACTGAGCAGTTAGCTGTTGCCCAGGCTCTGGGACACTCGGTGACCTCACCACCCATGGGGGCCAGACAGGGGCGGATGCCCACAGAGCCCCCAACAGACAAGTGGCCCACGCTTCTGTTCCCCATGGGCACCATCTTTCCCAAGATGTTGCCCGTGGAGACGGAGTCAGCGACCGTAAACACCGACGAGAAGGCAGAGCAGACCAAGATGCTGCAGGCGCTGCTGTCATGGGGACTGGACCCCACCGGCAAGGGCTGGCTCCCCTGGCTCTCACCCGCCTGCCCAGGCGGGGCTGACAAGTTGTACCCCCAGGGAGAGCTGCACGTGCCTGACCCATCTGCTGGGCTGCCCTGGGCACATGGCTGAGAGTGGCAGGAACACTCGACTAACCCGAAGTGACAAGTGCCTTGCAGGCCGGATAGATGCTGGGCTCCACACAGCGCCCCCTCCCCTGCAGTTGCCCTCTGACCTCCCCCCCCCCCCCTTGAGTCCAGCTGCAGGGACAGAAAGCAGAAAGGAGCTCCCGTGAGCCCAGTGCACTTCCCTGTTGGCTCTCAGCCCTTTCCCAGCGAGGAGTGAGCAGTCGCCGTGCATGGGGGAGGGAGGGTAGAACTCTGAGAAGGGGACCCCCATGCTTTCCTGGCCGAACTCTGGCACCTGAACCAAGCCTGAGGCCTTGCAAGAGACAGCAGCTCTGGGGGACCCTCTGGAAGGCGGTGGGGGGTGGCATGATGGTGTCCTGACCTCAGCCATGGGGTCAGCAGGGGCAACAGTGATGGCCACTCCCCTACTTAGCAGCACAGCTCCCAATATAGGCAGTGAGGAGACCTCAGGCCCCTTGCCACATGCACCTGTGGGCCCACCCCCAGCGTCCCCAAGGTGGCAGATGTGCATCCCCTAGATGCCAGCTTACCCTGTGGCCACTGACGGCTTCTCTGTGGGCAAGTCCCTGGCACTGACAGCCCCCCCACACGTGAACCCAGAGGGATGAGGGGTGCATCAAGGTGAGGCTGGGGCTTGCCCTGGGGAAGCCCTCACTGCACCCACGACACCTGCTTCTGCGAGGCCCATGCTGGCCCTTGATGGCTGAGTGCGTGGCCCTGGTAGCGGCCGTGTCCCCTGTGATGCTCAGCAAGGTGCCTCCCCAAAGCCCACGGCCACAGGGAGGCCAGGCTGTGGGGGCTCAGACCCCACTGGGAGCATACATGAGCCGTGGCCAAGAAGGACTCAGCAATGCTATAGTCTAGGCGTCTAAGGCTCGGCGGAATATGTACATTAGTAGAAAACTGCACACATTTAATTTTTGCTTGTGCCCAGAGAAACATCTTTCTACTCCATTTTCCACAAACTTTTGGAAGGCTCCTCGCTCTCCAGTAGTGCCACAGAAACAAAATGCCTACCCAGATCCAAGGCCAGGCACTGAAGGGCAGGGAGTTAGGGGGAGAGTCCCCATCTGCTGGTTCACTTCCCAGATGGCCACAGCTGCCAGAGCTGAGCCTGCCGAAGCCAGGAGCTGCTTCCGAGTTTCCCACGTGTGTGGCAGGGGCATAGAGTTCGGGGGCTGTCCTCCACTGCTTTTCCAGATCATGAGCAGGGGGCTGGATGGGAAGTGGAGCAGCTGGGACGCAAACCAGCACCTGGTTGTCCAACGTGGCACCTTTGCCCACTAAGCCACAATAGTGGCCCTAATAAGTAAATCTGTTTAAAAAAAAAAAAGGAAAAGGAGAAAAGTGGTGTTTGCACACACTCCCCAGGTCACCAAGCAGCACCCGGTTGTCAGCTGAGCAGAGGGCACTGGAAGGCTGCCAGGGTCTGCCAGTACCTAACAGAGACCCTGCCAGTCCCATCTGAGACACAGATGTTCTAGAACCTGAAGTTTCTAGAAGTGAGAACTTGCTTTGGAGAGAATAAGACAAGAAAGCCAGGCCCGATACGATGGCTCAGTGGCTAAGATCCTTCCCCTACCCACACCAGTTCACGTCCCAGCAGCTCCACTTCCCAGCTCCCTGCTTGCAGCCTGGGAAAGCAGTTGAGGACGGCCCAAAGCCTTGGGACCCTGTACCCGCATGAGAGACCCAGAGGAGGTTCCTGGCTCCTGGCTTTGAATTGGCTTGGCTCTAGCCATTGGGGCCACTTGTGGAGTGAACCAGCGGATGGAAGATCTTTTTCTATCCTTCTCTGTAAATCTGCATTTCCAATTTTAAAAAGTCCAGGACACCGGATTTGCTTGTGTCCCAGCAGACCGAGCACTGTGTGCTGCATTGCGGGCAGCAGCGGGGGACAGCTGTCGGGTCAGTGCTGCCTCTGGGACTGGCTGCACTCCTTCAGCCATCTCTCGAGTCAGGTGCACCCAGGGCTGCCAGTACAGGGTGCCTGGGAGGAAGGGGCTGCAAAGGCCAGCCCCTCGCAGTCTGGGCCTGGTGACCCTGCAGCCAGAAACCAGGGCCCCAGGACCCCGCACACTCGGAGGCACTCCTGCCACACGGTGGCCACTCACATCCAACTATGCAGCAGCTCCGGCCTGAGCCGGCGGCAGACAGGCAAGCCCTCAGGGTGCACCTTCTCCAGCTCCCCTCACTCCTCAGCCTTCAAGGGCCACACAGTCTCCCTATCTCCCGGCACCCCTTCCTCCAGCCCTGATTGGGCTGCTGGGTGAATTCTGTCTCCTACTGAGTCCAGGACAGGAGCCCCACCCTGCAGGCCAGCAAAGGACCACACATTCTGGGTAGCAAGGCCTGGAAGAGGCCTTTGCCTGGGCAGCCATGGTGACACGTGGTGGGAGCCACCTGGAAGGGCTAGGCAGCACCAAGTTTTCACACCTCACAGGCTGGGACACAGTGTGTGTAACACCTGGCCCTGGGTCCAGGGGGAGGCAGGACTAGCTGGTGCCTGCTCACCCCCATCCTCACACGCTGCCACCTGCCACTGGTGGCAGAGTGGGGATCCTGCAGCCAAGGCCCTGGCCTGTAGTTCTGCCAGCAGCCTGTGGGGATGTCAGAGATGCATGGGGGTTTAACTGGATTCCCAAGTGAGACAGGCACCTTCTACACATGCGCACAGGGACCAGCAGTCCTTAGCTGACCCCCCACCCCTGAAGCACAGAGGTCAGCTGCCAGGACACACAAGCACTGATGGTACGCTCAGTCACATGCTGTGTGTGTCTGGAGGTCCCAGGGAGTCCCCCGGAAGACCTCACGGGTTGTCCAGGTCACAGCCCCCCTCGGGGTCCTGATGACAAGTCTGCAGAGGTACAGGGCTTGCGGCAAGCTGCACAATCCACCCTGGGACTCCTGACACACAGGGAGGGAGGGGCACACACGCAGAGCTGCTCCTCTTGGTCTTGTCCTGGTAGCTGCGTGGTTTCAGCAAACATTGCCCAGGGCTGTTGGAAACAACCCTGCCGAACGGCCCACACCACGTTCTCACCAGACATGCAACCCGCTCAACTGTATCCTGTGAGCAGCCACACAGCTAGCTGCCTGTGGCTTTGCCTGAGTCATGCAGGGCAGGGAGAGGCAGGCTGCATGTTAGAGAAACATGACACAGGCCAGCAGGAGCCAGAGGGCCAGCCTGACACCCAAGCAGCTCCAAGGGGTCGCACATCCCTCACCCTTGACCGGCTCACAGCAGCAGGTGCACCCAGACCTGCCAGGTGGCGCTGAGTGACTGTGGGTGGGATTTCAGCCAGAGGTTGGTCAGCGCCACCTGCCACCACAGCCCAGGTGAGAACCCCCTTCCCTCCTTGGAGCTGCATGGTGGTCCCGGCACTCCTGCCCTTGCTTTCTGTCACCGAGGCGCTTGTGAGCAACTGCCCACATCCGTCCCCTTCCTAATCAGTTGTGCAAATGCTTGCTGTCCTAGGGTGATGCCTGCCCTCACAGGAATATTACTGCAGATGTCTCCATCAGAAATCAGACAGCCTGGTGGTGGGACCGCCAGCTCCAGGACCTTGGCCGCCCTCCCTGCTGGTGTTTCTCGGGACAGCCTGGCTGTCTCCACTTCCCTCAGTCTATACAGACAAAGGCACACAGGGGGTCTCTGTCGCGTTGCACCTGCTGCAGAGCGCGCAGCTTCTTGGTGTCCGGCTCCTTGACGCCGCACAGGGCATTTCACAAAACTCCACCAATGGTCCTGACCTGCCAGAGCCTGGCCTTTCTCACCAATGGGCCACCCCTCTGCTCGTGCTCCAGGACAGGGAGTTGGGACGAAGCCCCCAAGCTCCAGAGCTCAAGAAGGCAGTCCCCAGGAGTCCTGGGGTCACAGCAGAGGTGAGCGATGGCTTCCAGGTCATCCAGCCTTTGTTGCTGGTCCTGCTGCCTGGACTGACAACTCCGAGGGCCTTGGCTATGCGTGCTGGGAGGGGCGGGTGTTGGCCTGTGCTCCCTGCAGGAGCAGGGGTCCAGCCCGGCGAGCATTCCCCCTCCAGGCTGAGCTGCCGAGGGAGCCGTGGCCTGGACCCACACATTGCCACTAGCAGCGTTTCTCTGGTGACACTGTCTCCTTTGGGCATCAAGCGAGCCTGGACTTAATGCGTGCTGACGGCTCCCGTGCGATGTGGCCAGCCCTCCTCAGAGAGGAGTGGACGTGCTCGCCCGTCTTGACAGCAGAGGACAGGGTGGTTTCTGGAAGGGGCCCGGCCCTGTGCTTCCCTGAAGCCAGATTAAATCAGACGCCGGGCCTGCGGGAACATACCGCACTCTCACCCTTGCCTGTCTGACCTGGCCCCCCAGACGTGGCATGCAGCTAAACAAAGGCAGTTGTTCAAATAATTCTGTGCCCCATGTGAAGAGGCTAATTGGTTTAGGCTTGACGTGTCAGCGATTCGCGATCTGGGCCTTCCGCTTGCATGTGGAGCCGGGCTGGCTGGCAGCCGGCAGCACACTGAGTAGCTGCTGGGTGGTGGACGGTGTCCTGTCGCCCTCTAGTGGCCTCCGCAGCCACACAGGCGTGTGCCCGTGAGCCGCCAGCGCCAAGGTGCAGCCCTATGCCAGGACAGGTGAGAGGTGGGACCTCCCGGCCACGGAGCTGCCACTTTCCAGCTGAGCCCGGTGTCCCTTCTCCCTGCAGCTCTGGCCGCTCAGCTCCCCTCTGTGTGCCTGGCACTGGCCAGCAGCTTTTCTACAGCTCCACAGACCCACGTGGAAGATGGAGCACACTGTGCCCTAAGCCGGTGCCAGGACGCCAGGACTGAGTGAAGGAATTGACTCCAATTTTTCAGCCGGGGGTCTGGCATGAGTCAGCGGCCATAGCGCCTGCTGCTAATGGATTCCAAAGCTTGAACAAGCTCTCACCCCATGGCACAGCCGGAACTTGAGCCATGAGAGCGTGTCCATGTAGCAGGATCAGGCTGTCCCCCCCGTTTCTGGGGCAGGTGAGTGGGGCTCAGCACACCGCCTCCCACCCTGGCTCCCTGGCTTGGTGGAGGCGAGGGCTGCCAGCAGTTGGGCAGGGCGAAGCTGGCGGACATGGGGCAGAGTTTCCTCCTTTCCCAGCCCCCTGCAGGAAGGCATGATTCTGACCACTGAGCTGCTCTACCAAGGCGCAGTGTATAAGTCTCGCCCTGCCTGTGGCCCCAGAAGAAGCATGGGGCGTCCTCTTAGCCACAGGGTCACATATGAGGGAGGAAGGCTGGGTCAAATCCCTCGAGCAGAAAGCACTTCCTCTCCTGCCCCTAAAACCTGGGCTTCCCCTCGTTCCCACCAGGACTGGCTCAGCCGCTCAGGCATGGGTACCCACAGGCTTGTCCGCTGACCACGAGCCCATGTGGGAACACGTAGGGCCTGGCTCAGTGTGGGTGGGACAGGAGATGTCCCCTGCCAGGCGGCTGACTCCTTCCCTGGGCCTTCCAGCTTCTATGCTGAGCTAGGCCTGCGCTGCGCCACGTGCTCTGAGTGCGGTGCCAGCTACGTGGAGGTGAGGGACAATCTTTGCTGGCCCACAGACAGGTGTCGGGGGGAGGGCAGCACGGTGAAGAGGCCCAGGAAGAGCCCAGCCCGAAGTCCAGCACCACAGACACTGGGTGTGAGAGTGCCCCCTGGTGGACAGGTGGGTGAAGCGCGCAGGAGCGGCGGCGGTGTGAAGGATGCTGGAGCTGGGCCAGGGGAGACCTGCAGGTCTCTGACCCCCACCCCGCCTCTCCCTTCCTGCTCCCCACTTGCCTGGATAACACCCACTGTGAGCATGTGGGAGGGGAAAGGCCTGGTGACACTGGATGGTTTGTGCCGTAGCCCGGGCAACAAGGGCACGCACCTGCACGGGGAGCCACACGCAGCCTCGTCACAGACTCCCGCAGGGTGAGGGGGTACTGGACAGGGTGCCAGGTGTGTGAAGGTGGAGTTGAGCAGGTAAGACAGTGCTGTGGCTGGGGCCTGAGGGGGTGTCTGGGCACGAGCAGCTGCCAGCCCCACGTGCCACCACCATGGTCTTCTCATGAATTCTGCATGTCACCCAGACCCAGTCAAGGGAACCGACAATGGAGGAACAGTGGCTTGGCCAAGGTCACGCTGTAGGCAAGGCAGCTGGCACACATCCCCAAGGGCTCTGAACACTGGACAAACCGGGAGAGTGGAGAGCAAGCTGGCGGCCAGGGCAGGGACAGGTGGCAATATTTCCTGGGGACAGTGGAGTCACTGTCAAGCTGTGTCCCGAGAATGCTCCCCCTCTGCGGTTGGCCACCTGCCACCTGTGAGACATCTCCCTACTACCAGCCCCACCATGCCCCTGGCCTCCCTGGCCATCCTGCAAAGGCGCAAGGGCTTCCAGACCCCACAGCACTGCCAGCCCACTCGGTGAGCCAGGTCGAGCTGCAGAGGGATGGGTACAGGCCAGGCCAGACACGCCACACAACACCCGTCTCTCTCGGGTGAGAGTCTAGGACAGTGGGGGAGCATCCAGCCCAGCAGGGTGGGCAGGTACCAACAAGCCCTTTCCTGGGGTCCTCTCAGACAGCCAGGCAGCTGGGAAGGACACGTCACCTCACTTCATGCCTGATGTCACAGGGCCCACAGTGACCTGGTTTGGAGGGAGCAGGGCTAAGACTTGAACCCATATCTGCCACAAGCAGCCCGGCTGGTGCTCTCGCTCAGCTGTGCTTGGCCATGCTGCCTGAGCTGCTGCACAACAGGCTCCGATCCCGGATGAGCCCGCTGTTTGCCTCAGGAGGAGGGGGGATGCATGTGACTTACCCCTTCCATGGGCGCTATGAGCAGGTCGTACAGGGCCCGCAGCGGGGGCTTGGCCAGCGAGCTCTGTCTCCTAGGGAGAGATGAGGTGCCATCCTTGGTGGGCGATGCCGTGCTGAACAGGCTGGTCACGCTCTGGCAGCTCCTGCGGAGAGAGAGCCAGGTCACCCACCATCGCCTTGCCCCGCTGTGCAGAAGGCAGGTCACGCCGCACAGCAGTGCCTGCAGGGCCATCCACCTGGCCTCTGCCCTCCCTCGTGACACTGTCTGCTAGCACAGAGAAGCAGCTGCACATGGCAGCACACGTGTGTGGAGCCTGTCTACAGTCCAGGCGTCCCAGTGTCACCCCCAAGACTGATTCACAGCCGGCATCGAGCCACTGCGCGCAGGCAGGCGTGGGGATCTCAGGAATGCTACCATGGCATGCGGGAGCCACAGACGGGACCAAGAGCCAGCAGGCCTGGCCTGGGGCTGCGAGCTGAGGCCCCAGAGCTTTGTCCGTGTGGCCACGGCATACCATCCTGCATTTTAGCTGCTGTTCCCAGTTGTGGTTTTCTTGGCACCCCATGGGCGTGCTCACGCTCCCCACTCGAACACAGAGTGAAGGCAGGAGCTGGTACCTTCAGTCTCGTTCACTAGGAGCGTGGCTCCAGGCCCCAACTGTCTTGCAGGCACTGTCCTGGGGCCCAGCATGGACAAGGCTGCCGGGACAGGGAGCAGAGCCACGGAGGCAGGAACCTTCGCCCGGCCACCTGCTGAGGCCCCTGTCTGGATGGTGGGCAGGTTTCTCAGCTCCAGGTAAACTTGGTATGTGGGGGCGGGGACTGGGGCTTCCACCAGAACCACGGCCTGCTGGGCGTGGCGTGTGCTTGGCTCAAGGGCAGTGATGGCAGCTCTGTGTTATTTAAGAGGAAACCAAAAGGCTACTTTCCCAGGGCCACACCCCAATCCACGACATTTTGGCAACCCAAGCTTCCTCCCTGCAGACCTTGGCCAGGGTCCTGGCAATGCCCAAGCCTAGAGCTCCGTGTACCCTCTGCCCCTGAGCTCACTCTGGTGACAGCATGGCAACATGCCTGGGAGGCAGGGAGCCTGCCCACGTCCGCTCACTCAGGAAATGGGTCATCACAGGCGACAGGGGAGCACGCCTACCCAGGAGTGACACTCGGGGTCCCACTTAATTGCAGAGGACACACTGCAAAGAGCAGCTTGCCCCTGAAGGGGAGATCAACAGCTCGCTCTCCAGAAGGGACGCTGTGGCAGCACGCGGCGGCTGTCACCTTCCTGTTTGTCACTGCACATGCCCGCCCTTGGTGGTGGACGGGCCCTGCCGCCCACATGGCACCCTTCCCTCTACACCCTTCTTCCCATACCCACAACAGAACCTAGCCAGGGGGTCCTTGGGGAATGCCATACCTCTGCCTGAGCCTGTGGCACCTCAGCCAAGCTCCTAGCTCCGGGGCAGCAGCACAAGCTCCCCTTTGGGTCTTGCTGTGCAGGGGGGCTGTGGGGAGCCCCAGTGTATCCGGATGCAGGTACTTACTCCAAGGTGCCAAGACCAGAACCTCTGCCTGTCTGACCCCACCCAGATGAACAAGGGACACAGGCCAGGAGGGCCTCCCCACTGGCAACAGAGCCATGGAAAGCAGGGTCAGGCTCCAGCAGATGTGGGAGAGGAGCGTGCTGAGCTCAGCCCCTGCCTTGGGCCACTGTGTGCCTGTGCAGGAGAGTGTTGCCTGCCGGTGCTGCGTGGGGACAGGGACAGGGGACACAGGCTGGTGGCCTAGGCGGGTGGCAGGAGCCCAGGCCAGGGGTGCTGGCCCACACAGTGGCATCGCTAACCTATCACTCAGCCCTTCTGCTCCCCCCAGTGCCCACCGAGTGGGACTGGTTCTGACAGAGGCACACACACAGTGTCCCTGTTAGTGACCTGGGCTTCCGGTCGGCCTGCTGGGCAGGGAAGCCCTCTACCGGCAGAAGGAGCAGCAGACAGGCCAGGCACAGCACAGGGAAGTGGCTTAGTGAGGGAGGGCAAGCCCTCTGCTTCCCTGCACTGCCCGGCAATTTGGTGAACCTGCTCTGGCCTCAGGGTTGGGCTTGCAAAGCCGCCGTGTTCAGACCACATACTGCCCTCCCCTGGATTGGCAAACAAGGAGCGGTTCTCAGCACCTGCCCCATCCAGGGAGGCATCTGGAGGAGCCCCTTCTGGATCCACTGCATCCCCCGGCAGTGCAGACTCAAGAACAAGATGCTGCAAGGGCCCTGTGCGGCCAGCGGACAGCTCTGCGTCCGAGCCACTGCCTTCACAGCACCACCGTCACCTTCCTTGTCCCGGTCTTCAAGTCAGCCCGTGTCCCATCTCCACCTGCTGACCCTGGCACTCCATGCCCCCCTCCATGAGGCAGGCTCTCAGCCCCCTGCGCCAGGCCCCTGTGTTGACTGGCAGCTCCTAGACTACCGGCTCTGGAGCCGGGCACCAGCCATGGCCTGGGCAGGTGAGGCAGTTACCCTTGGGCCTGCCTCCCACCTGCTGCTGCTGAAAGCAGTCCTGTGACCTGGCCACAGTGACAGGCGTCAGCTGGCCCCAGCAGTGGCCACCTCTGGCTTCCAGCTGCTGGTAGGTGCTGTGCCTCACTCTGCTGAGACAGCAGCGGAGCTGGGAGCAGGAAATCTGGGCCAAGAGTGACTGACTGTCCCGGGACTCTGGGAGGTGTGGTCCTGGGGAAGGTGTTGGCTTGCAGCCCAGAGGCCAGCCCACGGCCAGGACATGGCCCTCCCTGGCACTGTGGTGGGTTCTGCCAGAGGTGTTTCTACCCCCAGGTGTTGGTGCCATGGCTGCCTGGCACCTGCACAGCCCCACTTGTAGCCACAGCCGGGGTGGGAAGAAGACGCACAGAGTGAGAACTCGTGAGAACTTGAAGTTGCAGGGTGGCCTGCTGCTCAGGTCCAGCCCTAGCGGGTGTCTGCAGAGGCCAAGGGCCTCCAGGGCACCAGCAGGCCATGGGACGGCCGGGCAGGCCTCTCTCTCAATCCCCTCTTTTCCTTGCTTCCACGATGTAGGGTTGTGATAAGGCTGTCTTTCCTGAAGTGTGGAAAATTTCCTCTGTCTAGACCAGCCCTGCCGGCACCTGCTGTGTGGTGTCAGGCAGGGGCAGGGCCCTTTCAAATGCAGTCATCTCCCAGGAAGTTGGCACCACCTCTCCATGCCCCAGGACCATGTACAGGGAGGGACTCCACGCCTTGGCTCGGGTCAGTTCAGCCGCGTAGCCCTGGCGCTCCAGCAGGGGGCGCTGCCCGCCGCCTTCCCAGCCACCATTCACTGCTGTGCCCTGGACACTGGGCGCCTGCCTTAGATGATGAGTATTAACCTCCTGGATAAATTCTTATGCCGGCAGTCCACGGCGGCAGGGGGAGGGCACGGATGTGGGGACAGAGAAGGAAGCTGTGCCTCTCTCAAGCCAGAGCACTCAGGGGATGGCCAGAGCTGGCCCCAAAATCTTGTCCCATGTGTGCCTACAACCAGTGCAGATTCCGGGAGCTGGCAGGCAGGTGGGCTGAGTGGTCCCTCCAGCATGAGCCAGCCCCATCGGCATGCACAGACCCCAGCTGCTTTCCCCGGCCCACTCCTCCCTGCTCGGCTGGGCATGCCCTGAGCCTCCCTGAGCTGGGGCTCAGCCCCGCAGGACTGCACCTGCTGGAGAACCCTGCACACCGCCTGGATCCTGCTCTCTGGGAAGCTGTTGGCTGGCACATCGTCTCATGCCTGCTTCCTCGGCTCTGATCCGGCTGTGCTCGGATCCCCTGTGGAGCCCTGGGCACGGTAGGCTGTGGGGCTGGGAGCTGGCCTGAGAGCTACACTTGAGCTGCAAGGAACTACTAGAACAATTAATTGGCAAATCTGTGACATTTGGGTAGCTGGAGATGCCTCAATTCAATTAAATAAAGGATTCTGATGCCAGCCCGCGACTTCCCTCTGCATGAAAGGCGGCCTCTAGTGGGAGGCCTGCAGTGTCAGACACTTGATTTGAAGTGCTTATGCACCAAGCTGCAGGCGCTTTCTTAATTACCAAGCACCGGGTCCCCTCACCCCCTGCTTGGGAGAGCAGCAAGGAGAGGGGGCTGCTCAGACTGGGAACCCCTGCTCTTCCAGCTACACCTGGCACCTGCTGGCTCGGGGGTGGGAAGCTGCAAGCGGCATCCCACCTCTTGGTCCCGGACTCTTCTGGGCATGCCAGGATAGGGTCGTGGTACCTGCCTCCCCTGGCAGCCCTGGGCAGGAGCTGCGGCCACAGAGCCTGAGAGGGCTGGAAGACGCCCCCTGCTGCCAGCATCCCTGTTAGTCCCTGAAGGCCTGTCTCCAGCTCTACCTGCCTGCCTTCCCCACGTGAGACAGCACCTGCCCCCACGTCACAGATGGTACCGCGTCAGGGACCTAAGGGGGCCGGTGAGGCCCTGGTCAACTGCACAACCTGGGAAGTGAGAGAGGGGCCTGGGCTCAGCTGACGGGCCAGGCGAAAAACAGTGATTTCCATACAACATCCAAAGAGCCAGGGAATTTCAGAGGCGTGGTGGGGAGCGGGTAACTCAGCCCCGGGGGAACTTGTGAGAGATGAAGTACCTGGCGGGGGTAGGGGGGGCTGCCTCTTGTGCCCTAGTCCTGTGTTCTGCAGCAGGCAAGGACAGGGCAGGGGCCCTCCGGGTTAGGGCAGAGAGTAAGGGAGGAACGGAAGGACGGCAGGACCAAGGTCAAGCTCCGCCATCTCAGCTCAACTCCATGGAGAGACCCCAGTGGGAGAGCGACACAGCCAGATGTGTGCTGCCCTGGGGGGAAGCAGGGGCAGGACCGCAGTCCGCTGGGCAGCTGGGAGGGACGTCACAGGACAGACTTGGTGGGTGCTGTCAGCCAGTGAGAACAACGCCCATCCCTGTCACTGGCAAGGTGAGGTGCTGAGGTTGCCCCTAGGAGCAATGCCAAGAACAGTGACCATTTGGCATCGGGCACAATGGCGATGGTTGCACCTGTTGGGAGGTCGGGTACCCAGGGATGAGGAGGCCTGCAGAGAAGTGAAGCGGGCAGGGGGCACCATACACACACAGGGGCGACAGCCCTGCTCTGAATTCAGCTCTCCCAGGAAGTGCCAGGGGCTTTGCCAAACCTGCAGCTTCCGGTCCCCTAGCTTACCAACCCTGTGAATTTTGGAGTTTTTTTTTTTTTTTTTCATCCTGTGCAGCTCTGACACAGGTCCTCTAAGCCCCACGCTATGGATTCATGCGTTGGTGCATTTAAACAACACTGGTGAGGCCCCCGGCCAGGTGGGTGCTGGGCCCAGCACTACAGACTGGGTGGGAAGAGGCACGGCTGGCAGCACAGAGTCAGGCTCGGGGCAGGAGGTGGCCTGGGTCCTTCCAGCTTCCATGCGAGTCCTAAGGCCGGGGCCAGCTGGCACCGCCGTGTGTCCTCTGTGGCCTTCCTGGTGAGCCCGAGAAAGAGGAGGGGCACTGGCCTCCATCCCCAAGAGAACAGTGAGGGCACCCAGGGTGTACAGGCCGTGGGGGGGCGGTCAGAGGACCCCCTGTAACCGGTGCTGGAGCTGACGCCATCCCCATCCCCGCTGTGGGATCTGGGGCCTCTCCGCCTCATCCATGGCCAGGGGTCTGAGCTAAGACACGCGTGGCTGGTCGCCGAGCACAGCAGCAAGAAATGGCTTCCCTACGGACTCCTGAGAGTGGCCGTGGTTTGCAGCGAGCGTGTCCCTGGAGCACACGGAGGTGGTGTGGGAGCAGCCGCGTGCACAGGACCCCGTGCACTGGAACAGGGCTGGCTCCCCCGGCAGGGCGCTCCAGCTCGGTGATTTTATGGATTTCTTGGCCCCTTTGCTCCTGGGCGAGCAGCTAGGCTCATCTGGGAGTTTGGCAGCCATGGCTGATGCGAGTCAGGGGACCCTGGGCTTCAGGGTCTCCCTCTTGCCACCCCAGCGAGAAGGCTCTTTGTTCTGCTTTTGTCTGCAGGGCCTGTGCTGTGCTGTCACTGTTTTCCCGTTTGCCATGCACCGTGGTGGAAAATGTGTTTGTATTTTGAGTGCAGGGTGGGCAGCCCCCCTGGGTGGGCACACCCCTTAGGAATGAGGAGCAGACATGACCCTAGGGACCAACCAGCCTGCCCTGGCCTGGTGGGCCCCGAAGGGCAGGCACTTGGCAGGGCAGCACAGGTGCACATGTGTGTGCCCATGTGTATGTGTGTGTGCATGTATGTGTGGCTGCACTTGGGGTCAGGTCACATGTGTGATGGAAACTGAGAGAAAGAACCAGCCCTCAAGGATGCCCTGGCCCTCAGAGGGCACCATCCTGGACCACCTGGGGCCCGTGTCCACAGGGTTGTTCTGACTTTCATTGCCACCTATGTTGTGGGTCTTCCGTGTTCCCTATTGCAGCCACATGTGTGGCTCTGTGGGAGGGGGGCATCCCACAGCCCAGACCCCAACTCCCCTTTCACAGAGTAGCCCACCCCACACCCTGCCCCTCTCTTGGTCTCACAGGAGACCACCTGGGAATCGGCTAGCGTGACTCCTCCCGGTGGCCACTCCCAGAGGAGAGGGCAGTGGCCCTGGCCCCCGGGACCAGCGTCCTTCCTGTGGCTGGGTCAGAGCTGCACAGGACAACAAAACAATCTTCCCCAAACGAGCAACTCTACACTCCAAATTTCACAGCATCAATAAGCTAGGGGATCGGAAGCACCTAAGTTGGCCTGAGTACAGGGCGCCGGTTCCCACTGCCGGAGTGCCTGTGGCCAGCCCACTGGCTGGTCCACTTTGGTATACAAGGCCAAACAGGAAGAGGAGGGATGGGTGAGGCCGCCACCCCAACCCACACCAACCTCACACCTTGCAAAGCCCGGCTCCCCTCAACCTCCACTTCCCCGGGAACAACATGGCTCCCAGGCCTGCGGGGCAGCAGGGCTCTTATATTCCCACACGCAAAGAGCCCAGCAGGCTAGGAGGCTTGCCCCCATTTCAGAGACAAGGAAAACAGAGGCCAGCAAGTGGCGGAGGAAGCGAGTCCCAAAGCCAAGTCCTGAGCTCTCTGCACTCTCCTCTGACCAGGCGTGCCATCGCAGCAGGACCACAGCCCCCCTCCCGCCCCCAGACAGAAACTGCCAGAGCAGGGATGACAGCCCAGGCTCGTCTCCTGCCTCCTCATACCCACTCACACTCCTGCATGGAACTGCAGGCCCCGAGGGCCACTGCTGAAGGCGGGGGCGGGGAGCAGAGTGAGCAGCTGGCGGGCTCAGGCTGGCCACACTGCTGGCCCCTATGTGCCCCACCCTCGGCTCTCTGCCCACTCAGTGGGACCCTGGGAAAGCAAACACAGGTTCGTCACCCTGCCGGCACAATGAGAGGAAGCGGACAGAGGGCACACAATGGCCAGCTTGGCAGGGGCAGCCTCCTGTCCAGCACACAGCCTCTGCTGGGGCACAGAGCGGCCAGCAGCCCAGCATAGTGACAGTGAGACAGGTCCCCCTCAGCCATGGCTGCCTGCCCCTGTTGGGGGCAGCTTCCTAAGAGAAGCACGTAGGAAGCTGCTGGCATGGCAGCTTAGGCCTGTTAGCTCATGGGAGAGAACCGAGCTCCCGCACAGACCAGGGCACTGGGTTTGGACGAGCTCGGCCCTGGACCCGGCTTCTCCTTTGATCTGTGCCGCTGCCAACTCCGCTCTCGCTGACCTCCCTGAGGTTCAGACCAGGACGCAAGCAGGTACTCGACCTGCAAATGACCTGCCCACGCCCCACCAGGTGACCACGGCCACATGCTCAGGTCAGCTCTGAGGTGAGAAGCGGCAGCAGACAGCCACCCTCTAGGTCTCCTGGCTGGTGGCTCCCTGCCCCACGCCGGGCCAGGGAAGAGCTCCCACGTACCTGTTGAAGAGGTTGTTGCGACGAACCATGCGCAGGAAGCCTGTGGGGTCGGTGACCGAGTTCAGCTTGCTGTTCATTTCCTCTAGCTGCTGCTCCATGATGTCCCCAGCCTCGCTCTCCGTCTCACTGCTGGCACAGCCTCTGCAGGAAAAAGTACCCAAAGATCCATTCAGGGAAGGGAAGGACTTGCCTACAGCAGTCAGTTCTGTGCCAGTTCTGCTCCCAGGATCATCCAGGCCTGGGGTCCTCTGAGGGGTCCTCCCCACCCCAGGTCCTCTCCCCATAGTACCCAAGATGAACACTGGCTGGTCACTCGTGGCCTGTGAACTCTATAGCCAGGGGCTGCGTCTGATTGGATACTGCACTTGCTGTGGCCAGCAGGTGCACAGCACATAACAGGGACCACTTGGTGGTGAGCGGTCTGCCAGACAGGCTTCCCAGGGAGAGCTGGGGTGAGTGTGGCTGTGTGGTAGTCCTCCCAGCCAGTCCAGAACCAGGGACTAAATGTCCAGGCCATGTCCAGGACATGCATGCTGGGTGCCCAGGAGTCTCCCTACCTGGGACACGCATGCTGGGTGTCCAGGCCGTGCCCAGGTGACACCTCACCTGGGACACGCGTGCTGGGTGCCCAGGAGTCGCCTCATCTGGGACACGCGTGCTGGGTGCCCAGAGGTCACCTCACCTGGGACACGCGTGCTGGGTGCCGAGGAGTCGCCTCACCCGGGACATGTGTGCTGGGTGCCTAGACTGTGCCAGGCATGTTTCAGAGGAGACACCTCACCCAGGACACTCCTGCTGCCGCACCACCCAGCAGCGCAGGTCGTTGCTGGACACACAGGCCAAGGAAGACCACGGACGGGGCCATCCACAAACTCAGCATGTGGATGCGACTGTGGCTCAGTTAACACTTCTGTATTTCCCCTGATGCGCAATTTAACAGAACTTCCCACAGTAGGTTGTACATAAACGGGGACACCAAGGAGGGCCCTGATTCATCAGCACAATTAACTGACAGAAGGCTTAGCAGCTGTAAGAGCCATGCCCTGTGTGCTGGGCAGAGAAGGCCGTGATGGTGACATGTATGTCCTCTTTCCCAGGCCCACTTCACATGCGGTCCCGGATCCCTCAACCTCAGGGACGTGCACCCAGAGGACAGCTTCTTCTGGTGTTTCCCGTGGACTAGGCATTTGTGTGCACAAGTGGGGGGTGCCAGGCCCCTGGAGGAAGTGGGTGAGAAACAATGTGGCCTACTTCCTCCTGGGAAGGGAGACACGTCTCTCACCCCTCACGGGGTGCCGGCTGGCTGAGGACACGTCTCTGGGTGAGAGCAGTATTGCGTGAGGGACCCACAGACTGCCTTCCCCAAGACACATGGGGCACTGCCCCTTCCCAAAGGCCCGAACAGAGACAAAGGGGGCATGAGAGAGAACCCACGCCCTGCCCTGCCTCACCTGCCTTCAGACTGAATGTAGACTGGAGCTCTCAGGGCTGGCACCCCTAGGTCTCAGCCAACTGAGATCCAGGGAACCCTTCAGCCTGCTTTCTATTGTTGTTGCATAAACAACCACCTACGCAGAAACACAACCTATAGTGGGTTTTAATGCACGTGGGAGAGAGAGAGGGGGAGAGAGAGAGAAAGAGAGAGAGAGAGTGTGTGTGTGTGTGTGTGTGTGTGTGTGGTCTCTCTGGAAGCCCACAGCTGAGCACCCAGGAACCACTATGGCGCTAGCTGGAGGCTCCTGTTCCTCCCAGCCTGTGGGGTTGGGAAACAGCTCTCCTAAGACAGCAGGGTGCCTGGCACACAGCAGGACGCCCCAGGGAACTGCTGCAGGAATCAAGGACAGACGGCACAATGCTTGCTTGTGGGCTGAGGACTTTTATAAAGCTCTGATCTGACCCGTCCAGCATCTGCAATTGTTTCTGCCCACAACGCAAGACAGCAGGTGCAAGCAGCTGCAGCCCAGGGGCGGGCAGGGCTGGGAGCACTGGCAAGGTGGAGGATGCTGGCTGGCTCCAGCTCAGGTGCCAGGTGCCCTCGCCCCAAACACAGCACACTCTGGTATGTGACTGGTGGGGGAGGGAGTGGTCAAGCCCAGGAGAAGGCGGGGAAACTTCTGGCATCTGAATACATCACCAGAGCCCATGTAGTCACAGGCTGTAGAGCAGGGAACAAGGCCTTATTCCTCTTGCTGTCCCACCGGCCCGACTAGCAGCTGAACAGGCACGAATGGCTCCCTGGGGGCGCTGAGGGGCCCTCTGCAGCAGAGACCCTGGTAAATATCACTCAACAAGCAGCTCTGTCCAGGGACACATTTGTCACTTGAATGCGACCTCCTGCCTGCGACTGAGGGATCTGCTTGTCAGAGGAAAGGGCAGCAGAATCGGCGGGCACCAGTGTCATCTCACAGCCCCCCTTCTGCTGGCAGCCACCATGCTGAGCCCTCACGCATCTGCTTAATGGGGCTTTTCCCTGCGTCCTGACCCTTCAGCGTGTTATAACACCGAGGTCACAGATAAGGGGACCTCGCATTTACAAAGCAAGGCTCAGCTCCTGGTTACAGCGTCAGCGGCCCTGTCCTGTGCCCAGGGCTGAGTGACTGGGGAGGGGAGGGGAAGGAAGCAGCACGTCACACCTGGGGACAGTCAGCTCACTGTCCCCGGGCGTGCTTACTGAGCAGGCCTCGTGGGCAAGGGCAGCAGGGCTGGGCAAGGACGGTCACATGGTCCTGGTCCCACAGGTCGCCGCGTCCACCTCCCATCCCCATGCTTCATTGCGCTTGTTACTCAAGAGGCGACAAACTCCCGTGGGACGGATGGCACGTCACCTTAGACGGTGAGATCACCACTGCCACTGAGGTTTAAGAGCAGCTTCGGTCCTGCTCACTCGTCCGGCCATGAGTGGCCCAACTGCGCCTTGGACACAGTCACCACGGAGCCAGGACAGGACAGGCCCCCTCAGGCCAAGACTACCCCGCAGGAAGATGGCAGTAGCCCTTGGAGAGGCTCACGGAAGGTGCTACATGGACCTGCTGGTAATTACATGGTGGCATGTGCTCGTGTGTGTAGAGACCAACTGAGCAGCCAGCGTGCGGTGGGCAGGGGAGAATGTGAGAACATGAGGCTCCCAAGGGGTGAACAGGGTACAGAGAGAACCTCGAGAACATTCCAACATGCGGCCTTGCAGGAGGGCCGGAAAGCAGCACACTGCTGCCCTACCAGCCGCCCGGCACCGCCCGGCACTGCCCAGCAAGGCAGGCCCTGGATGCCAACACCTTGCCTCTCCTTTCTCCCTGCCATTCTACTCAGCTCAGCCCAGCACTCTGCACCCTCGGTCCTGCTGGCAGTCCTGGGCCTAAGGATTCTAGCTCAGTGCCCCTCGCCTGGCCCTTCCCACTTCTGGGCCCTGAAGGGACACAGAGGGCCCTGTCTCTGCATCCTGACCAGGCACCTGTCCATCCTGGGAGATTCTGCCCACTCCGTGTGCTACCGGAGGAGGGGAGGAAGCTGGAGTTTTAGATCACCATGGTCATGGACAGCAGTGAGCGAGGGCCAAGGCGAGCGTCCGGACACACCTTCCCTGGTGTGAGGGGGGCATGGGGAAGAGCAGCTTTGCCATGGTGCCCACCTGCCCTGCCAGCCTCTCTCTGTGCCAGGGGCCTGCGTGCTTGGGGAATCATCAATCACGCCATCTCCAGATACAGGCTCCAGAGTGGTCACACATGGCGTCTCTGTGGAGACGGCAACAGTCCATGAATCAAGTCCGTGGAGCCGGCCCGAGCTCACCCTGCTCCGGGGAGGATCTGCTGTGCCGGCACGGCCTCCCGAGCTCTGAGACCGCACGCTGTCCATCTTCCCTCTGACAGCCACAGCCGAAGCCCCCACAGGTGCACTTTTATTTATGCCCCCTCATTTCCCCTTCCTCCCTGCCCCCACGTCTGCACTCCTGCTCCATTGATACCTAGTTAATTCTGCTCTGAAGTAGTCCAAAGCTGGCTGCGGCCGGTGGGAGGCCAGGCTGCTTCCTACACACGGTCAAGGGCAGCTTAACACACCTCCTTTCCAAACAAGGTTCTCTTTACGACCATGAAACCCGAGGAAGCAACAGCACCCGCAACGTTTGTTTCTACTGCCCTCAATCAGTTAGCGTGCCCGACAGCCAGGGGCCTGGTCCCCCGCCTCCTGTGCAGGGTCACAATGGGGGGCTCCCAGGGACCCCCACTGCTGATTGGACCAGAGGAAAAGACTTCCCTAAGCTCGGTGGGCCGTGGGTGGCTGGTTGAGATGGAATTCTGTGGGAGAAGTGCGAGTGATTCCACAGACCTGGGAGAGCTCCGGGAAGCGGTGGCCATCTTCCCATCCAGGGACTGGCAGCAGAGGGCGTTCCAGCTGCAAACCGGGGTGCCACACGGAGAACCAGACAGCCCGGCAGAGCTTTCCTTTCTGCACCTCCTCACCCTGGAAACTTACTAGAAACCCTCCTCTGTGGTTTAAGCAAATGGAGGGGGAGATTTTTGCGGGCAGAGAAGAAAGGGGTAGGTACCAACGTATCCTTGCAGTCCTGTGAGATGCCAGTGCCTGCAGCCCAGGCCCCAAGCTGCCCTGGCATCATGTAGACTTCGAGGGGACACGAGGCCAGCAGGCCAGGCAACAGTGGGAGACAAGGCTGCAGGAATCACCATTGAGGGTAAGGGCTGGCCAAAGGCAACCTGCCTTGAGAAAGTTCTCCAGTGCATCTAAGTTCTGCATGCAGACTTCACAACTGGAGGGCACTGGGCACAGGGACCCACCAGTCCAAGGCCACGCCCAGGAGCATGACCCCGTCCCCCCCGCTGTGGACTGGCCCGTCAGGGCTGTGGTGTCTTATCAGAAGTGAGCCACTCGGCTCCCTGCAGATGCTCGTATTTGGATGGAATGAGATCCACTTCCTTGAGCTGATCCATACTGTCATCAACAATTACTGCAAGAACAGACATGCTGTGGGGCTGATGGCACGTGGGTACATTTACCTGGCAGCAATCTATACAGACACACACACACTCACCTGCCAGGAACCTGCACATGCACACACACCCCACAATGCATGCTTCGGCTGGTACCCGTGTACACACACACCACACACATACACACCCCACAATGCATGC